CAGTCAGGAAGGGGCTTGAAGCCCAAGCCCTGCCGTCCCGAGCAATCCAAGGCGCGGCCGCCAAGGATGAGCCCATGCCAATCCGAGGTTCCTTTCGCGGCTATTTTACAGCGCACGAATATCTCTGGACCCTCGCTGCAGTTGTCGGGGGAGAGCCCCTCCAGAAAGCGGACTCTCAGCACGACGGCCCCCTTCAGGGGCACCGGCTTCCCTGCAGCGATCCCATGGACGAACTCCGGATGCACCCAGCGTTCGAACTTCACGACAGGAAACCTCCGGTCCTCCGTGCCGATCCCCAAGGCAGCAGCCCGGTTGAGGATCCCACAGAGGAGTTCCTCCGTGATGTGGTTCGAGCCTGCACACCCGTCCAGCATGCATTCCACCATGCCGTCGATGACCTGCACGACTGTTCTGTACTGGTACCCCCCGACCTCGTTCTCGCAGAGGTGCCACCAGTCCTGAGGCAGCTCGTCCAACGAGCTGAACTTCGACGACGAGCTCTTGGCAAGCGGGAAAGCGGAGGAGTTCGCCGCAACAACCGTGCCAGCGCTCCCAATCTGGATGGAGAGCGTAGCGAAGGGATTCACCATCCCGGCGCCACTCGGGGCCGCCCAGTTCGAAGGCAACGCGGCTCCCCCAGTGGCGGGAAGCGAATGGACCATGTCACAGTCCGCTCCCTTACGGCACGACCCGTTCTTCTTGAAGAAAGGGCAGATAGTCCCTGGCGGCTTCGCGCCCGCCTTGGACTTCGCCTTGGGCTTGGCCTTGGCCTTGCCTTTGGGCTGCCCTCCGGGTCCACCCTTGCCCTTGCCCTTGCCCTTCCCCGGCGTTGTCGCCAGGGTGGACGCGTCCCGCTCCTTCTTGGCCGCGAGGGCCTTTTTGCGGAGCTCCTTGTCGTGCGAGTAAGGGCACGCGTCCCCTTTTGGGCAGTTCCCGTGGTCGCGGAAATGGAAACAGATAGGCTTACCTTTTCCATTTCCTTTCGGACCAGCGGCAAGCGTGGAAGAGGCGGCCGCCTTGGCCGCGGCCTTAGAAGCCTTGAGCTCCGTCCTCAGCTTCTCGACCTCCTTCCGCGCGGCGGACAGGGCTGGGTCTTCCGTCGAACCTGCGTACACGCTATTAGCCGTCACCCGATGCGCAGCCTCACGCTGCTCATATTCGAGGACGACCTTATGCGCTTCTTCCCAGGTCGAAGGGCCTCGAAGCCCTGCGGATGCGCCGTCGCTAGGCCACAACCGCTTATCACCGCGGATCTCCTTCTGGAGATGTGGAGGCATCTTGCGCAAGTAGCTTAGGAAGAGCTCCCTCGCTGTCTTGCCAAGACCCACACTCTCCAGCTCCGCGATGGAGGCCTCAAACAGGGGCTCGAACTGGTGCCCTGTGAGACGGCCCTTAGTGAGGGCGACGTGCTCCGCGTCCACCCTCATCTCCTTCTCTTCTCGGCTCTCGCCGAAGACAAGGTGCCGCTGCTTGATCCTTTCGTAAACGGCTTGGGGATTCTCAGTAACTTCCCCGGTCTTGGAGGCAGCCTTGTACACGTTAGTAAAGGTCTTAAGCCTCGAGCCGCGGCAGCGAGCACGAAGGGCGATGAGTTTCTCCCGGAAATTCATCCCCTTGCAGTTGTTGGCAAGGCCACAGACGTCCTCGAACTCTTCGTAGAACTGGACCACGTCCCGGATGTCGGAGCGATCGTCGGTGAGCGAGGGCCATTGGAGGTCCGTCTTCACGGTCGTGATCGACGTCTGACCTCCGCGAGACGCCAAGGCCTCCTTGAGCGCCTCGGTCTGGGCCGCCAAAGCTGCAGCGAGCTCTCCGGCTCCGCCGCTGGCGGAGTGAGGCTCGCCGGGCTTATCCTTCTTAAGCCCTTCGAGCTCTATCTCCAGAGCCGCAAGGCGGGACTTCAGGGGTGAGTCCCCCGGACCAGGTTGCGGATCCTCAGGGATCGCGAGCTGAAGGTCCACCGGGAGAGGCGCCGGTGCTCCGGACTTAGAGCCCGACTCCGCAACGGCGCCCGTCCGGGCCGCCAGGGCCGGGACAGAAGAAGGAGTGCTCCAAACCCTCTCGGGATCGCCGCTGCTCTTGCCTCCCAGGGCCAAGATCAGCTCGCCGAGGCACGAGATCTCCTTCTCGACCTCCTCTCGGTCTTCCGACCCAAGAGAAACCGCGGCAACGGTAAACCTGGTGCGCAGGGCCCGCACCATCCTGGCAGGGTGCCAGTCACCTCCCATTTTGCCGTATTCCTCGGCAAGGATGGTGGCCTTGGTAGTGATCTTCTCAAGATCCTCCACCGTGACCTCTGCCTGGTGCGCCTTCAAGGCCACAACCAGCCTTGAAACCCGCGTCAGGTAATCCGCGACCGGTTCCTGGTCGGGACGGTAGAGCTCCCGCAGGTCCGCCTGCAGGGTCTCCGCCGTGACGGGACCACCCGTCCCAGCAGACGAGGGAGGCCCGGAACGGGCCGGGCCGCCGGCCACCGGCGAGAGAGCAAGCGCACCAACACGGCGCGCCGTCTCGGCCACGTCCGCCGGCGCAGCGGCAGGACGCGGAGCCGGTACCCCGGCCTCCGGCAGAAGCTCTTCAGAGCTGGGGCCCGGATCGCCATCCTGAGCACCCGGGCCCGCTTCCGCAGCTGGAGCTTCCTCATCTTCCTCTTCATCTTCTTCCTCTTCCTCTTCGGCATCGAAGTTGTCGTAGAGGAATTCCATCGTCTCCTTCCACAGACGCTGTTCATCTGCTAGCGTCGTGGATCGTCCGTCCTTCTTCTTGGTGGGACGGGACCCCGTTTCCTTACGCCAACGGAGCCAGTACATAAAGGGCATCTTCTCCGGGTACTCCACTGACCCATCCTCGATGCACCTCAGCAACGTGGCTCCTTCCGGCTGACCTGCGACCTCAGCGCTCATGGTCGCCTAGCGAAGGAGAGAGCCCCGTGCCACACAGGACCACGGCCTCAAGGCGCACGACAAGCGCGCCTTCGAGGCCACGTTAAAAGATTGCGGCGCAGCAGCCGCCTGGGTGGCCGTTTCCCAGAACAGCCCCCAATTGTGGAGAACGGAAACCCAAAGGGGCAGCACGCACCCTCGTTTTCCGTCCAAGCAGAAAGTCCAACGACCGTGACAGGTCGAACGTCCGCCCAGGACGGGCTGCGCGCAATTGCGTCGCGGCAACGAGAAGCTACCAACGACACACTGCCGTGCTCACTTGAGCCAAAAATGTTATGAATACGAATTACAGAAGAGCATGCATAAAAGCCATACAGCACAACAGCCAGCCCGCAGACTATGTCCATTACAGCGGACGGACTTTCGTCGCGTTTCCTGGGAGGCGCCATGAAGCTTCGGCTCAGAGACCTACCACAACCTCAAGGGATCTCAAAAGAAGAAGTATGGAGCCCTCGCCTTGACGACGGCGCGCTCCCTGAACGGGGGGGGGGGGGGGGGCCTCTTTCAATTTGCTTACCGCTTAGCTTTGGTTAGTAGGGACTGGAGGAATGGTAGTAATAGGGGTTATAATTATACCCCAATCTTCCATTCCTTAGTAACCAAAGGGAGTTTGAGCATGGAGAGGGGGTGCATGACATCTACTTCTAAGTGAGGGCATCACTTATGGACTCAAGTTCCGGACCCAGTGCAGGATGGGAAACGGGGAGGGAGAACCGCAGTCAATCAAGTTGCGCAGGCTGGCGAAACCCAGCGGCCCACAACCGCCCCTCCCCTAAGCCCTTAAAGGGACCCTTAAAGGAACCCTTAAAGGAACCCTTAAAAGGAAGCCCTTCATTAAGGGATCTACTTTTTGGATCCCCTCCCCCTCCCACCAAGAAGAAGGCATGCGCTACCCGTGGGCCGCATGCTAGTGAAGGGATCGGCTTGGAAGAAACACTGCCGAAGCCATCGCACAACTTCGGATAGTGATGATGATGATGATAATAATAATAGTAATAGTAATCATAATAATACTAGTAATAATAATAATAATGAAGATTGATATGTTTATGGTTATGGTGATGACTGTTGGTACCAGTGGTGCTAAGATCAGTGGTCGTCCTCGTTCGCTTCTCCTCGTCGTTGTCGTCGCGGTGGAGTAGTACGTAGTAGTCGTCGCCATAGTAGCAGCAGTTGTTGTAGTTGCCGTTGCTGTTGTTGTTGCTGTGGTTGCTCGCATGGGTCCTACGAAGGAGCCGAACTCTCAAGGCACCCAGAATTTTCACTCTTTCCGAGGCCTGGACTCCACGGCCGTGGGCGACGAGGGCGGCTTCGCCCCCGCCGTGGCGGACCCGGAGGAGGCCAAAGAGCAGTAAGGCTTCGTCGTAGAACCCACAGGGTCCAAGTATCATTATGGTATATGCTTATAGGGTATTTTGGGGGTCTAAGTATATACCATATAGGACCCTTTGGGGAAGGGTTCTATCGGGGCTTGTATTGCGGGGGCGGGGGAGGGGGGTAACCAGGAGGGTACTGCAAGGGTACTCTGCGGCCTGTTAACAGGGGTATGGTAAGTTTCTGTAACGCGCGTATCGTCCTGTACAGGTGCCACACGGGCATTGGAAGGGTATGTGGAGGGCTCCCTAAGGGATACTGTAAGGGGTTCTTTAAGGAGGCTTCGACATTCCTTAAACTGTTAAACAAGAATTGCAGGGAAGGTGACCTTAAAGAAGCAAAGAGCCTTTGCCAGGGGCTGAAGCTGCTGCTGGAAGCCATCAGCCAGGCAAGCGTATGACGAGTGTTCTGAGTGTTGCTTGTCCTGTTGTTGTGACGATTACGGCTAGGCATGATAACCACGGTTGCGACTGCTGGTAGTACTATAGCTGCTGTTGGTCGCTATGTTTATTGTTATTGCCATTGCTGGGGGAGGATTTCAGTGTCAGTTCTGGCCCGGGGTTTGTGTTGCAAATAGGGGGTGACTATTTTCGGGCCTCAGTACTCTTTCAAGCATGCGTTTGTCGCACCTGCACTTCAAGAGTGAGATAGTTGCACCGGGCCCCGCAGCCTCTGGCTACAAGAATGCGCGGGCAACCAACGAACAGCAAGGCCTCGGCACGTGTGATGAGCTGCAGGAATGCGCGAGCAAGAAACGAAGACTTGTCGGCGGCACATGTGCCAGATTTGATGGTATTGGATATCGAGGAGAGATCGTGGATGTTGCGCGTGGCGGCAGGCTACAACCAGATCTCTGCAGCGAGAGTACTCCTCACTGCCGGAGCATCAGTTGATCTTGTGACATACCATTCGTGCAAGGGCGCTCGCAATGCGCTGCATGAGGCTTGCCTTTGGAGAGCAGGCGTGGACATGGTGAGAATGTTGCTGGGACATCGGGCTGACGTGAACATCAAGGTTCAGTACAAGGGACACAACAGAACAGCTCGCCAGATTGCCGAGGCCAAATGCTTCACCGAGCTTGCAAAGTGTTTTGAAGATGCTTTGGGCGATGCTTCAGCAAGCAATGCAGTCGCAATCCGTCCCTCATCGAGGCCATCTTTACCGCCGGCCCGTTCAGCTAGCCCGGTCTCGGTTCGTGCCCCGATGAGCTACAGGAATGCGCGGGCAAGAAACGAAGACTTGTCGGCGGCACATGTGCCAGATTTGATGGTATTGGATATCGAGGAGAGATCGTGGATGTTGCGGGTGGCGGCAGGCTACAACCAGATCTCTGCAGTGAGAGTACTCCTCACTGCCGGAGCATCAGTTGATCTTGTGACATACCATTCGTGCAAGGGCGCTCGCAATGCGCTGCATGAGGCTTGCCTTTGGAGAGCAGGCGTGGACATGGTGAGAATGTTGCTGGGACATCGGGCTGACGTGAACATTAAGGTTCAGTACAAGGGACACAACAGAACAGCTCGCCAGATTGCCGAGGCCAAATGCTTCACCGAGCTTGTAAAGTGTTTTGAAGATGCTTTGGGCGATGCTTCAGCAAGCAATGCAGTCGCAATCCGTGCCTCACCGCCTTGCCCCAGACCAGCTGGTATAGCCCGATGTGCAACTGCGGGTGCTCTGCTCTGCCGGGAAGATGAAGCAGAAGACGGGCGCCCAGATGCAGACGAGCATGAAGAGTCTCCATGTCATTCAGCTTCACGTTGGCACTGGTGGGATCCCTGCGACGACGGTTGGCATGACAACGGTTGGCATCGTCATCAGACCTGGAGACCAGAGGACGCGCGGGAGAACCCGTCTTGGGCTGGAGGCTGGGCGTCAAGTACTCGGGTGACTTCAGCAAGCAATGCAGTCGCAATCCGTGCCTCACCGCCTTGCCCCAGACCAGCTGGTATAGCCCGATGTGCAACTGAGGGTGCTCTGCTCTGCCGGGAAGATGAAGCAGAAGACGGGCGCCCAGATGCAGACGAGCATGAAGAGTCTCCATGTCATTCAGCTTCACGTTGGCACTGGTGGGATCCCTGCGACGACGGTTGGCATGACAACGGTTGGCATCGTCATCAGACCTGGAGACCAGAGGACGCGCGGGAGAACCCGTCTTGGGCTGGAGGCTGGGCGTCAAGTACTTGGGTGAGGACCCCTGACGATGAAGACGCATGGAAGTTCGATGAGCATCCTCGGTCAGGTGCGGACGAGCGGTATCGTTCCCGATCACCTCGTTGCGAGAGAGACATCTTTATGCAGGAAGGAGACACTTGCACGGTCATCGAGACTGTTCCAATCTCTAAAGTGGGCAATCTTCAGACTTGGTGCAGCAGGCATTTCAGAGACGGCAGGCCTTTGGAATCCACCATCCATGAGTTGAAGGAGGGACTTGTTGACCCGCTCAGGCACCGGAACTTTATCCTGAACGCTGTAAAAGCCACTGTCAAGCGTGATGGTGTGCAGCAGGAACTTTACTGGACTGAAGACCACCGGCGCCTATTTTGTATGAAGGCAGCCGGGTGCAAACAAATCCGGATACGGATTCCATTATTGGACAGGAGAGTTCAGGGAATTTTCCGAAAAGCTATTGATCGCATTGGTCACGACACCGATATCCATCTGGGCAGGCCTCGTCATCGATGATGTCGGAGCGCTCTGCTTTTTCCCCTCGTGTAGGCTTCTTGCGAAGCTCGGAAAAGCAAGGATCGTCCGACGAACCTGGCGCAAAAATCAGCCTTTCTCCCGTCTGAAGACATCTCCTTAAATCCTTAAACGCACAAACAAGAAAGCAAGCCCTTTTTTTCTGTTTGAAGACATCTCCTTAACTCCTTAATCGCACAAAACAAAACAGCAAGCCCCGGCTTCCCTGAGCCGCGAGGCGGGCCACGAGGGCAAGATCCTGTCCCTTGGAACGCACACAGCGTCGTGGCTTTGGGTCCCCGTGCACTTCAGAGGTCTTCGGGTTTAGGGCTTTAGGGTTTAGGGTTTATGCATACCTCCATTGCGGGGGCTTAGGGTTTAGGGTTCCCCCTGTCCGGAAAGTTTTTGAACTGTGCCAAAACACCCGTGAGCTCGAACCCCCTACGCCTGTTAGCCCTCCACGCTAATTCCAAGTAATGAGCACCGAGTCCACAGGGCCTGCAAAAGCCTTTTTTTGCTCGTCCCTGAAAGATCACCAAAAGGCCTTCAGGGTGATGTGAGCATTGATGCCCTCACCGAGTCCCCCTGATGACCGGGGCACCTCATTCGTGAGCCCTTTTTTGTTGCCCTTAAAGGACCCCCTGAAAGTCTTGAAGGAACCTGCATTATGATAAAGACCCATGTGCCAATTCCACATAATTACCTATAGAACGCTTACAGTAGCCCCTTGATGAAACACAAGCAACCCCTTCAAAGTCTTACAGGCGGCGGCCTATTCCTATTCTGAGTATATCGGCCCCTCTATTATGTGGTTGTCAAAATTATGGTCCCTTTTTGGGGTATCCTAAATATTAGGTGCCGTACTATATCAGGGGCCCAAAAAGGGACCATAATGTTGACAACTACCCATAGAATCCCCAGTAATGGTCTCCATAATCCATACCCCCAGCCCCTACTAAGCACAAGACAGCAGTTTAAGGCGGGCTTCCTGCAATATCCCCAAAGCCGGCATGACGGAATGACCCATATCAATTGGCAGGATCGGCTCGGACCCCGCATCCTCGGAATTCTGGAAGGGCGACGAGCAAAAGTACGCCACTTGGGCTCCAAAGTTTCCATGAACCGGGGACCCTCCTTGTACCCTCAAATAATCTCAAATAAGGGTATATGGTCCCAAAGAAGGGGCATTGAGGGTCTAATAGAGGGTAGATGGAGGGTCTAGGAATGTTATGACCCTAAACTCTAAACCCTAGTAATGGGTTGAGGGCTTTGGATTTAGGGTTTAGGCTTTATTGAGGGGCGTAGGATTTAGGAAGTCTGTTGAAGGTTCTTTGCAGGTTTAGGATCTAATGGCTGCTTGACGAAGTAATGGTCGCGGTCGGCTTCTAGCTTGCAATTTGAGTGTTAACACTTTGGGATGGTTGCCAAATGCTGGAGCTACCTTACTGCAACCTTTACTGCTCCCAGTGCTTCTAAGACTCTGCTGCTGCTGCTGCTGCTGCGACTACCGCTACTACCAGTACTGCCGTGACTACGACGACGACCGCGTACTATTCGTCCCTAGTTCTGTCGGTATCGCGATAAAGCCAACGGCCACGAGAGCACCCTTAGGACATGGACTTCAAGAGCACGAACCCGAAGCCGGAGAACAAGAAGAGCAGGGAGGAGATGGCTCCTTGCCCGCGGCTTTTTCGGTGTTGCTCCTTTCCTTGTCGTGCTTGTTGTCAGATATGAACCACTACTCGCATCTGTTATTTTTTCTGAGCATGATGCTGACCGTGATGGTGATGGATGAGGATGGTGATGATGGTAAGGAGTCACCATCGCTGTTCCTTGACACTTTGCTTACACTGTTGTGGCCTTTGCTTGAAGATGCTGCGGAGAATCTTGCGCGTGTTGTCTAGATGCCATGCTTTTGGGATGTTTTGCACGGAGATAGCAAGTTTCCCAGGAGCTGACACGGATACGAGTCTCATCTTCCTTGGAGGGTCTGCAAGTTCCGTGCCTGGGGTTGCCGAGTAGTCGCGGTGAGTCGCAGAATTTGGAGCCTTGAGCTGCGTCTCGGCCGGGAAGTGTGCAGCTTCAGGTGGCCACGTACAAGCGTTTCTGCGACACCTACCCCATTGCACTGCTGGAGGCTGCAGAGCGTGAGCGTTGAGGGCTTCAGGGAGTCTTCGGGCTCTCGGGTTTCGGTGTCTGCTGAAAGGCTTCATGGCTTTGGGGACGGAGCGAAGATCGCGGGTAGAAAGAACCGTGCTTTTGTGATGTCCTTTCGTGCCGGATTCAGGCTAACAAGACAGTTTGCTGATTCCCCCGGTGTCTCTTCTATCTGTATGATAAACCAAACCCCGGGCCCAAAACCCCCACTCCATGCAAGAAAAAGAAGCAAATGAATGAAGCACAGAAGAACCATTGAACTAGCATGAGGCAACAAAAAGCAGAAACCCATACACCCTGCGCACCCTAATATAGTACCCTAAATAGTAGGATCCTTATTATAAGGACCCCCAAAACAAGGTGCCCCTAATTTTCGGAAACTCCCATCAGGATCCTGATTATAAGGACGCCAAACTAAGGTGCCCCTAATTTTCGGAAACTCCCAGCAGGATCCTGCCAAACTAAGGTTCCCCTAGTTTTCGGAAACTCCCATCTGACTCCGAACACAAAATTGCCAGGACCCGTTCGCCGAGGAGGACTTCGAGGGCCACTCGCAGCTCACTGCGCTAGTCGGCGACAAGGCACCTCGTAGTGTTTTATGAAGCATTTTGAAAAATATTATAAGACACTACGAGCTCTTTTTACAGATGAAATCTGAATATTACTGGGTTGTCCTTTGGGATCTGTTTTTGATTTCCCCTACTCTTTTGTAGAGAACCATAATAGTATATAAATAATTCTCAGAGGGCTTAAAGGACAAGTCAGATTAGGAGAAAGGGTACCCTTATCTTTAAGGGTTACTCAGGAACCCAGTTTAGGATTCGGGCTGAAGGGATTCTCAGCTTAAGATGTAGGGAGTGTTGTAGAGCTTACATAGGGCCTGAGAGGATGGTTGGAGCGTCTTGCTCAGGAATTGAGAAGCTCGGTACTTGCGGTTAGGCTGCTGGATCTTCTCAAACGAACCGACAGCTTGTTTTTAATTGCGATACTGGAACCCAATAGTATCCGCTCGCTTGTCGCTTCAACCTGGGTTCCTGCTGCGATCGAGCAAGTCAGCGTCTCAAATGTCGCGCTCGCGCTAGTGACGATTCTGGTACTCAAGTGAAGAGGAAACCAGGGTAGCATGCTATAAGAATTTAACCCTGCAGTAGCTTGCCGCAGTCAGCAGTGTCTCGCGTCATTCTGGACCCTTCCAAAGCCGTGGCATTAGATCTCACCATCTCTCCCACCTCCCACCTTGCGCAGCACCACAAGCTCGCCCAAGTCTTTGCAGAAGAAACACAACGATAAGGTCCAGTACAACTTCTGTTGGGTCGAGGAAGTCAGCAAGTAAGAGGATACAGGTGATGCTGATCGCGTTCAAAAGATTCGCGCTTATAGCATCAACGCGTGCATAGCGGTAGTAGCACTCATAGTTCATGGATTGGAAGCAGCCTCCTCACTACTTGGGGCAGCACACGTTGTCGTGGCTTTAGCCGAAATCTTCCGCCCTACACAGAGTCTGACAGAAGAAGCTCCAAGGGATAGCAGCAAAAGCCGCAAGACTGTAATATAGGGGCCTTAATAAGTACCTATACTATTTTGGGGGGTTCCTTATTATGGTTATAGTATAACGGGCCTCAAAACCCTGTTCTAATTGTTACGACCTTTACATATTAAGGCTTTCTTGGGCTTGGGGTTGCAATCCTGGCCAGGTCGAGATTGTTGGTGATGACCTCTATTGCACCAATGTCAAGCGCGTGCAGATGGGCTGCTTGCCTCTGCCAAGAGCGAGATTTTTGAGGATTTGGGGACTGGTCATGTCGACGGCAGCATCAGGTCAGTTTTGAATCCTTCGCAAAAAAACACCGTGGATTCGGATTTTCAGGGGCCATGGCGTTCAGGGCACCCGGGTGCTGGGGCTTGGGGCTGCAGCTTTAATTCCCCGGTCAAAGCCGCAAATGGTGCCGCGATTTCTTCAGAGTCCCTGGATCTTCGGCGGGAGCGACGGTGTTAAGACTTCTCCGCTGGAAACTGCCAAGCCTCCCCCAAAAGCCCACGGCACGAAAGCAGAGCTCCGCAAGCTCCCTTCTGAGGCTTGGACAAGAAAGCTACCAACGCCATGCTCCTGAAGGCTTGAACGGGCCCAGAACGTACATCGGCAGCTCTTTCCGATTCCGTTTATGAGGTGCATCCGTCTTTGTGCCAGTTTCAGTAGAACCACCAGAAATTCAAAGTTGTTGTTTACATGTGTGGCGCAATGCAGTTGGATCACCAACCGAAGCCTGACTTCTCAAGTCTGGACGGTTAGTCCGTTTTTCCATTTTCAACATTCAGTTAGAATGAAGCAATTTCTGGCCATGTGGCTGATGAAGCCAGCATCTTGGTTGCACTGGAATTGTGAACAGGTGTTCAAGACACAGAGGATCACTCATCCGTTTATTGCAGTGCCGACCGGGCAAGGTGTAACCCCAGACCCTACTTGGAGGTTCATGGGTAGTTATAAGTCCCCTAAGATGAGTTATACGTATAGTTACCCTACTTATGAGCCCACTTTTACCTACCCATAAACCTTAAACCCTATACTCTTATAGAATCCCTATAGACCCCTTTAAAGGGACCCCAAAAACCTACTTCTCAACCCACGGTTTGATGCCTGCAGGTGCTTTGGATGCTCTTCATGGGCACCCTGACTTTGACCGGAGGAGCGAAGGTGAAGTCGCTTGATGCGGCCATCAGCTACTTGACGTCAAGCCTGAAGCCTGAAAACCACACCCTATAGAAGGCCCTAAGCCCTGAACCTTCAAGCTTTAAAGAAAGCCCTAGAATCCTATAGCTCGTCACTGTTGAGCCCGCCGTACGAGCCGACGCTATAGTCCGCCATACGCGCCGACGCAGTCTTCTGTTTTGTACATTATCGTCTACGCCACCTCTACATTACTATGCGTGTGTGTGTGTAAACCCTAAATACCCTGAAACCTTAAACCTTTGGCATGCAGCCCAGGCTCTGCGATCAAAGAGGCGCTGGCTCCCACAGGCCGTCCCTGAAGGGTCGCAGCTGGCAACCAACCCCCAAGCAAAGGAAAAGAGCAAACAGTTGGTTGGTTTCGGGTTGAGGGTTTGGGGCTTAGGGTTTGGGGTTCAGGGATTGTAACACGCATCCAGAGGCTTCAGACCATCACGTTGCAGAAGGGGCCAACGCAAAGCATGTAGTAGCAGACCCGTGTAGCCACGCCCCGGGCATTGAAGCCGCAGCTCAGGCGTTGTCGTGAATGCCAGTGTGCCCCATTCGATGTTGGGCCTCATCCCACACTAACCCAAATTAGCCCTTTTAGCCTAAACCTTACACCTTAAATCCTAAATCTTGAACCCTAAAACATTCCTTCCCTTCGCAGGCGAAGCTGCCAATGGGCCACTTTCAAGCCCTGCGGGACAGCGACTTAGTGAAGAGGACGCGTGTTGGGGAGAATTATTGAAACCGTCACGTGCGAGTGGGCCATTCAACTGAGGCCACCTTTGACATAGAAAGTACGTGCTTTTGCTTGAGGTTTGTGGAGAGGCGGGAAGGTGTGGGTCTTACGAAAATGGTTCATAGTTGTGTAAGAACATCTTCTGAGTCCTCTGTGCGGTTGGCTGACGGAAGGAGATTCAGTACATGCTCAGCCTGGCGCGTGAGGGGGGAGATGGGCTGAGCCGCATCGAGGTCCATCGAATCCGGAAGAAGGATCCACAAACGGGGGAGGAGTATGATGGCGTCTTCTACAACGAGTCCTATGACAAGGAGGGCACTAACATCTGTCATCAGCCTGGGGAGCGTGTCACGCCGACGGCAGCTGTGATCGAGAAGGCGAAGCGTCTTCTCGAAAACGATGCCGGGGTCTTGCTTGCGAAGGCTGTTGCAGCCTACATTCGCATTGCAGAGTACTTGGGAAAGGAACTTTACCACATGGAGGCAGAGGTCGGATCCGAAACCCCACCGGAGGAGCCGCGTGGCATAATGATCACCAGGATGACCATGGATTGGTTAGAGAAGTTGAATGAGATGCAGACAGATGCAGATCAGCTGCTGTGCCCGAACACGCCCGAATTTCTTCTTGTCTGCATCAAGCAAACCAATTGCCTCTTGGAGACTGCTGCAGAAGCCGACCCCCATGCAATCACTCCCGGCAGAATGGCTACCTACCTGGAGGTGGAGAAAGAGGTCACTGACCACTACGAAGAGTTTGCGATTCAGGCCAAGATTGGGTTGCCCCATATGCCAGGACTTTGTGAGCAGGAGACGGCAAGCATCGCCGTTGTTCCCGACACAGGCTCCTTGCTGCAATCGGAGAGCACTGCGGCGGCAGCGAGCAGCGAACGGCAGAGCCGCGCAGTGGCCGCCGTGTTCCATACACACCGGGCAGCAGCCCGGACGGTGCGTGCCCTCTCAGAGCATTCGAAGCTGCATTTGCTGGAGGAATCTTTCTTCACTCACACCTGGAAGAAGGCAGGCGTACAAAACACATCAAACCATGCTGTCATGGCAGAGTGATTGGAGATATGTAAAGTGAGCAGTCGAGAAGACGGTTGTTTCAGATTGTAGTTTCACTGCAGTTGCTCACAAGGTTCATAATCTCTGTATTCGGCTTCATGGTTGACGAATTAGGTTTTGCAACTTTGAGGTTTGCGCTTTTGGCTGAACCGTTATTGTTTACAGATCCGGGCCGATTCTAGTGGGGAGGGCTTTAGGCCCGAAGCCCTCAAATCTTTCGAGCTGACGGTTGATTTTTGTTCGATGATAGCGCTGGTTTTCTTGGGTTCATCTGAAAGCCATGCTTCTCTGACACAGTTTTGAAACAATTTATTCTTGCATTTCTTTACGATAATTATGCAACCCCATGCAAACCCGTGGCCATTGTACTACTCCTTTTGGTGTAATCTTGGGGGGGATCTCTTGGACTTCAACGGTCACCTCCGCTGCCTGCGTTCGGATTTGTATACCATGCCATAGTACCTATGAAGGATTATACATAAGATACAACACCATACCGTGCCGATCCGTGCCGCACTGGGCCGTGCGGTACGGCGCCACACCAAACCACACCGTACTGTACCAGTTCTGTTTGTCCTATACTATACCTGATCATAACATATAAAACTATACTACACACCATTACATGATATTACATTTTACAAGGTTAGAAATCATGTTACGTTGTTAAATGGTGCTGGGCTGCACTTTGCTACTCTCTAAAATGCTTTGCTGTGCTTTGCTACACTGCAGTATATTAGCTTGTCTTAGCTTGTGCTATACTACATACTATGTTATATGAGACGATAGTACACGATAAGATACTACACAATATTCTACTGCAGCATACTGTTTTATGCCATTTTATTCGATGTTATACTACATGCTGGACTTTCTTATGCTATCCTCTATCATGTCGTGGTATAACCTGTTATACTACAGCATAGTATATTGTATTTATTTGTACTCAAGCACAATGAAATACAATATCACATAAACGAAAAATATACTCTTTTGGCATATTGTAGTATACTCTACCATACTACACGATATTCTCCGGACGTTTACTTGTTTTTCGGTACGATACTGTACTAAATTACATTACGTCATGCTGTCTCATATTAGAGAGTTGTGTTATGTCGTGCTGTTCTACATGACGATACTATAGACTAATAAAGTTTACCATTTAATGCAACGCTATACTATATTCGACTATGATATGCTGATACTATACTTTACTAGACCATACTATATGATGCTTCACGACGCTGCGTTATATTACACTAGGTCATATCATGCCACAATCTACTTTAGTAAACTGTACTATGTTACATCACAATATAGTTCACTTTACCTTATTCTGGTCTGTTCTATTCCAAACGACGCTGCTCTGTTCCACTTTACTCTAATCTATTCTAAGCTCATCTATTCTACTGTACGGCTACTCTACTTTTTTTCTTTGTTATACTATACTACAAAATACTTCGCTACGCTACACTGTAGCATATTTATTATACCACACTATACCATTCCATACCGTTCTACACTACACCATGCTATGCTATATCATACTCTCTGCTTGAGTTTACTTTATTACTTTGCTTTACGTCATTTACTTAATTTGATTTTACATCACTGTACTTTACCTTCTTGTGCTTCACTTTATTTTAGTTCACTTTTCTTCCACTGAACCTGTACTTTTACATCTGTAGTTTACTTCACTACACTACTACACATTGCATACTATAACATATTACATTATACATACATACATTTGTATGTATGTGTATGTATATTGGTGTTGGTAAGGGGGCATTGGATGTTATGCACTTGGGACGATTAGGGGCTTTCACGGTTAAGGCTGTAGCTGCTGAAGCAGGCGTGCGAGCTCATCGGGTGCTGGACAACCTCTTTTGTCGATATCATGGATGCGTCCGCCGGACACATTGCCGAACTTGTGGATGTGAATGCTTCCTGGCATGCTGTGAAGACCCACCACGTAGGCTTCATGCAATTCAGGACGTCTGTATGGCAGGCCATGAATGCAAGCTCTGATTTCCATACAAATTTCAGAAAGTTCATCTACGGAACAGGCCGGCAAAAGGGGGCGAGGCGTGTGGATCACGTTTACAAGGAGGCCAGCGACGTGCTTTCCACCGCCCTTGTCTTGGAGAGCAGAGAGAACGCCGACTCCCAGTACGATTCCGAGGAGGACAGCAAGGCCGAGTCCGCAAGGAGAAGGAGCTCTCCTCGGAGACGGGGGAGGAGAAGGGAGTTTTTCAAAGTCTCAGGCATGGGCGCGGAAATCTACGGCGAGGGATGGTGGTGCTCCGGCTGTTTTTCTGGTAGTTCCGTTGTTCACCCTAGAGGGATGGAGCTGTGATACGAGTGTAAGACAGCCCACATGGACTTAGGTGCCTGAGCTGGCGGGCCAATGAATTTAGCAGCTTCCAGAGGAAGTTCCCTCACGAGTCTACGAAATGGGGTGCAGCCGTGGGCTACAGCATGGCTGTGGGCGATCCGCAGGAGTTTGAGGTCTGGGTCCAGGCCCGAGGGTACAAAAAAGCAAAACGTCTCCCGTAGTGCAAAAGACCCATATTCCGACATGCCCAAGGCTATGAAGGGGAACCACCCGGCCGTGTTTGAGCTCGCAGTCGGCTTGACGATCGGCTTCATTCCCAGCCTACCCACCGGGCAGGGTGTGCGGGCTGGCGTGACCGTTGGCGGGACCTTGACCCTGGCGACCGATGGCCCAAAGGTCGGCATCAAGCTTGGGCTTGGCGTGAGTGCAGTGGATGGCATTGCAAAGTCGACAGACTGTAGCCCCAAAAGAGGTGATATTGGTGGCTTCAAGTGCATGAAAGGTGTGTCGGCTTCGTTCACCATCTTCTGCAAGAGTTTCGACTTCTCCAGCGGTGACAGCGATGCCCAGCAAGAAGACCCATGCTCCACAGACGGCAAGTACTACAAAGAGATACAGAGGCGCCGGGTTCCCTGGGGCAACAAGTACGTCCGCCGGCGGGAGACCAACATGCCGGGCCAAGTTCGAACGAGTGAGAAAAACTCAGTTGCCTGTCGTGACCGCTGCAACCGGGTCTCGGGTTGCGTGCACTACACCTTTTACCAGGACGGTGGTTGCCATCTCCAAAGCAGCGACAGTGAGCTTCATGGGGGATGGTATGTCAGGTCTGGCCCAGGCCGGCCAGAAGACTGCTGTGCTGTACCGAAGGTCTGGTGGGCAATTGACCACAACAGACGCCGTCGGCGGCGTTGGCGTACCGACAAGGGCCAGCCGCACTGGTACACGCTTGATGGCCGAAGGCGAGGTAAGTCACATGGACAAACCTTGCAGCAGTGCCAGCAGCGCTGCGCGTCAGTGAGTTGGTGTCAGCACTTCACCTTTTGGAGAGATGGAGGTTGCCACATCACCGATTCCAATGCCAAGCGCTACATCAATCACGGCCAAAGCCCGCAGGCGTCAGGGCCACCCCGTTGCAGATGAAGATGAAGATCAGCCTACGGCGACGCGGCGCGGTTGCCAGAGCAAAATCGCCCTATGCGACCCATACTGGCTCGCACCTGCTTCTTGCATTGTGTAGGCCCGAGCATGCCACCTTTGCTTTCGGAAAGCCATTACTTGGAGGATAATGGCCCTTAGTAAGTAGGGTTATAAGTACCTTAATTAGGGTTATATGTAATTATAACTGTAGTTACCTTACTTATAGCCCCAGTTACTAAGTCCCATGATCCTTTAAGTAGGTAACTTGCAGCTTATTGCAGCAGGGGCCCGCCGCCCTCCAGCCCTGAAGAGTCGATCAGCTTCAGCCATAGGAACCCAGAGGCTCCAAAGGCGGCTTAGCAAGCAAAGTACCTTGAAATAGGGGAAGGATCCTAAGCTTGCTGTAGGGTGTATTCCTCTGGGTCCCTAGTTCAGAAGTCTTGGAGTCTCTGGCCTATACGGGGTAAACCACCGTAGAGCTACAAAGCCCTTCCGTGCAGAAACAGGAGTGGTAAGAGGATGACCTCTAGCGGCTCTAGTTTTTGGAGTGTGACAGAAGAAGCAGCAAGAGCAGCAGTAGCTCGAGCACTAGCACTAGCAGCAGCAGCAGTAGCAGCCTCACAAACACCCTCGAGGCCGCTTTCACTGCCCTTGCACACCAAGCAGCCCTACAGGTGAACCAAATCGGAAGCGTCTCGGAATCCATAGCGGCCTGGAAGCTCTGCCGCGACAACAAGCGCCTGGGACGTTCCGAGAGTGTTCCTTTCGTGCTTTGAGGGGGATGCTACAAGCAGGGCTGGGTAACTGATGTTGTATGCAGTTTAAGATTGACGGATTTGCAGTTAGAGGCGACGCAGGCTCATCGATGTATACCAGTGGAATGTGGAGGTCTTCAGTTTCGCGTCATTGGGTTTTCCCGCTTAGGAGTATGGGGTGTGGGGTATCATTTTGCAGGCTGGCCTCAGGAGAATCATGTAGAAGCCTAAACAGTTACCTACATTGTCTTTAATTATATCGTATGCCGGGAAAACTCTAGTCTGATGTTTAAGGCCCCTAAATGAATCAAGCCGGTCCGCGATTGTGGTTCGGTTTGGCTTGCTGTCCCCAGTGCCGTCATGGTTGGTGTGATTCCAGACGTTGGGCATCGGCATATCCCTGAATTTCGACTTTGCTTCGTAAAGCTGCTGTGTAAGGACGTTGGTCCTATGAGCTGATGAGCAAACCGACACCAAAAAGTAAGCTCTCCTATAAACCCTCCTCGAAGCCCTAGTCCCCAAAGAACCCTTAATACCTCAAATAAATCCCTTAAACCCTACACTCTTACACCCAAACCCTCGAAGCCCTAAACGCCCCCCCAAAACCCTTATAGTACCCTTTAAAGGGACCCTTATAGTACCCTTATGGTACCCTTATAGTACTATAAGAAACACCCGAAAGCGGGGCCGGGAATCCTGGAGGGTTTGAGCCTTTCCTCAGGTGGGGAGTCTTCGTGTCCCACCGCTCCGGAGAGACCGAGGATCCTGCGGTCTTACCGGCTTCAAACGGTGGGCTTAGGGAGGTTTAGGGTTTAGGGAGGTTTGGGGTTTAGGGCTTAGGGAGGTTTAGGGTTCAGGGAGGTTTAGGGTTTAGGGTATGGGTGGTTGACAAAATTATGGTCCCTTTTGGGTCCCTGTTATAATACGGCACCTATTATTTAGGGTACCCAGAAAGGGCCTTTAATTTTGACAACTACCCATATGGTAGAGGGTTCAGGGTTTGGGGCCTTGGGCTTGGGGTGTAGAGTAGGGGTCCCAGCAGCCTTGCGAGTGCCCAATCCTGTGATCTTCATTGTCTTCTTGGCCACTCCTGACCTTCTTGCAAGACGTGCCCTTAAACCTATCGGTCCATCTATGTTCCCGTTAGCCTGCAAACATAGATGTGGTGTGTGACATGCATGTGTGCGTGTGCATAGTAGACATACATACGTATACATACATACATACATACATGCATACATACATACATGAATGCGCATGGGTTCGCAGGACACCTTCATTGCTGCCGCATCCTCAGCTTCAACCGGGGAGGCAGTGAGCACGAGACGTGAACCCAAAGGCGGCAATTAGCCCGGAAACCTCGAAGCCCCAAAGGCCCTGACATAAAGTAGCTGCCTGTATTTTTGAAGCAGTTACCGCCAAAATTTCCGAGTTGAGCTTCGTAGCTGAACATGTAACCTTTAGCGTTTCAGGGTGTAGTATTACCCTAGCATAATTTGAAAGGTTAACCTTTTTTCGGCTAGGACACTCAGCCCCCAGGCCCTAAGTAAGAGCTTCAAAGGTGGCCCTCGAACTTACCTTTGGTGAGTAGGGAAGGGAAGAATGGTAGTAATACTGTTGATGCTATAAATCCTGCACTACCCATAATAAGGAATTGAATAGACCATAATTCCCATTGTTTAGGGTCCTTAAGGTAATGCAGGGTTTATATCATCAACCGTAGTAGTTACAATTGTACCCCAATCCTCCATTCCCTACTAACCAAAGGTAAAGATCGCTCTAAGGAACCCTAAACCCCTATAGATCTATTCAAAGGAGCCCTCTTCCCTACTAACCAAAGCTAAGCCTCGATAATCCTATTATACCCTAAACCTATAGATCCCTTTAAAGTGACCCTACTTATAACTACCCATGAACCTGCAAGTAATCCCCAAACCCTATACCCTTATATAGAATCCCTATGGATCCCTTTAAAGGGGCCCTTAAAGGAACCCTTGTAACTACCCATGAACCTCCAAGTAGGCCCTAGTGGCCCTGGAAAGCTCAGCTTAGGACCTGACCGTCGGCCTGGGCACTGGCCACTTGAAGACCGGCGCTCCCTGCAGGACTCGAGGGGGGGTCGCTGTAACTTACACGAATATAGGGCCTTAAAAAGTAGACTAATGGTTCCAGGGCCCATTATATATTGACTTAGAAAAAGAGGGCCTTAATAATTAGAATAAGGTTTCAGGGCCCATTGTATATTAAATTAGAAGAAGGAATCCCGGGGTGAAGGTTGAGGGCTTAGGTTGTCTTGAGGGTTCGTAAGTTTAGGGTTTGGGAGTTAGGGTTTTTGGACGGAGAACTTCGTTGAAGTTTGGTTTTAGGGTGCCCAGATTGGGAAAAACCTGCTGCAGTATCTGGGCTCTTGTTGAGTCACACAATGTAGGTTGCAATTGGGCTGTTCTTTGCATCACATGGGTGGTTGTCAAAATTAGGGTCCCTAATTGGGTACCCTAAATAATAGGTGCCGCACTATAATAGGGACCCAAAAAGGGACCATAATTTTTGACAACCACCCACCCACATGCTTTCCGTAAACGAGGCATCTTCGACTGCGAATTCTTGTGAAGAACCCCGGTGTGGACTCTCCACGCTTCCCTGAGTTTCCCACAAAATCCCAAACCCCGAGTGACAAAGATAGGGGCCTAGATCATTACCAGTACTGTTTTTTGGACGAGCTATTCCCTGGTGTGGACAAGGGCCTCCAAGCTGAGAGCCATGCGGAGACGGGGAGTTCCCAACACTCACCGATCCCTTTTCGATCCTTACGTCAACGATCCTACCAACCACTTTCTAAATTACTTGGATCCATCAGTTTCCGAGGGTTTAGCCTTTAGTGGCCCATAAGGGTTCCTTTAAGGGCTATATATATATATATATATATATATATATGGGTGCCAGAAAGGTTTAGGGGTATTTAGGATATAAGTACGAAAAGCCGTGCAGGAGCGAACGCCTGGCAAAGTACAACCAGCTGCTGCGCATTGAGGAGGACAAAGGGGGGCTAGGGTTCAGCGGTTTAGCTAACCACTGATAGTGGAGGAGCTAAGGAGCCAGGGGTGATGATAATCCCTATTTAGTAAGGAGCTAAAGAGGCATGGGAACCCCACAAAAAGGATCATGGGACTAAGTAAGTAGGGATATAAATAGCTTATAATTAGGATAACCCCACTTAGGGGACTTATAACCCCAGTTATAACCTACTTACTAAGTCCCATGATCCTCTAAGTAGGGTTTAGCGGTTTAGGGCTTAAGTTGCTTCAGCTAACACAACCAACTACGACGCTTTTGGAGCTGAGAAGGCGGCCGATGCAGTAGCAGCGCAAGCGAATCATTGCACTCCTTGCATTCAGCGGCCCAGTACCGAAGCCCTTGCAGCTTTTTAGTTTGAAACCAAAGCACGGCTAAGCAGTGAACCTGCCATCTGAAGGTGCTTGAAGCCATGAGCCCGGCGTCCCGAAACCTTGCAATTCCAGCAGCCGAAACCCTCCAACAAGCCAAACCTTGCCCATTCGAGCTTCAACAGCCAAAAACCTTGAACCCTGACCCCGAAGCTGCAGACGCCTTCACCCTGTCTTTTTGTCGCCAAAGCTATGGTGAAGGCACCGGCCGCTTGCCTTCACCATGTGTTTTGGGGGCCAAAACCCGTGGTGAAGGCAACCGCCGCTTGCCTTTACCGTGTGTTTTGTCGCCAGAGCCATGGTGAAGGCAATGGCCGCTTGCCTTCACTGTGTGTTCTTGGCACCAAAACCACGGCGAAGGCAACGGTCGCGTGCCTTCACCGTTGTGTTGGCATCAAAGCCAGGGTGAAGGCCACGGCAGCTCTCCTTCACCGTGTTATGGCAGGTGAAGGCAGTGGCCGGTGTCTTTCCCCGTGGATTTTTTGCAGAAAGACCTGTTTGAAGGTATCGGGCGCAGCTGCTACCTGTAGCCCTGAGGACCTGAATCCCGCAGCCTTTGAGAAGCCCACAGCAGCCCAAACTCCAAGAGCCTTTTCTTGAATTATCGCACAGCAACAGCAAAAAGCAATTCCAAGCATGATTTTCAACCAAAAACAACTGTAATATAGGGGCCTTAATGATTAGAATAGGGTTTTGGGCCCCATTATACTATACTTATAATAAGGAACCCCCCAAAATAGTATAGGTAGTTACTGAAGCCCCAAAAGTAACTCCCAGGAGTCGTCTCTCCCCTACTGCGGAAGCCACTTCCGGGCTCCCTGGGACATGCCAACCTCGGGAGGCTATGCCTGAGAAGTCCAAAGGAAGTCTCCTTAGGGAGGCCCCAGAGAAGAAAGGAGGGGTTTAGGGGATTTGAGGGTTGTTGCTATAATGCTTTCGATAAGGGGTCTATTATGGGGGTTATCAGAAGAGGGCTTTAGGGTTTTGGTGGGCTCAGAGTTGTGTGTGGGTTCTTGGGGGCTTGTGTAGGGTTGCATAGTTTGTGAGGGCTTGTACAGGTTTGAGGGTGGTTCTGCCGACAGGTTGCCCCGACCCAAATCCGAGCCAAGCCAGAACACAACACCTCCCGCACTCGACCCAACCGTTCTCCGAAAACCCAAATCCTCAGCAGCAGGGATCCTACATACTATTGTAGTGGAAACCATCATAAGAATAAAATATGATGTCGCATAGTTTATTATCCTGAAGTTCTGAGCTGCGGACCTCCCTGCAGTGCCAAGTGTTTGTAGAGCCTTTCGAGGGCTCGAACGTTCCAAAAGATGCACCTCTCGCCGCTGCGCAAAGCTGCTGTAAGCAATTATGGGCTTGCGCTTGAAGCCCGAATGATGAGCAATAGTATGGCCGATTGGCTTGGACACTTCGCACTTCCTGATGTTTAGGGCTTAGGGCTTTAGGCTCGGACTCTTAACCCTAGACCCTTTAAAGTATTTGGGAGTTGCCGAAAATTAGGGGTACCCGATTTTGGGGTCCTTATAATAACGATCCTACTAATTAGGATATTATGTTAGGGTCCCCTATTTTCGCAAATTTCCCATTTAGCTCAGAGGGCATTAAGAAGGACGAGGTAGGCCACGCCACGTGGATTTCGTGTTATTGTGTCTCGGGTGCAAGAGGATCACCGTCTTCCCGAGTCGTTCAGGCACTCCGGGTTTAAAAGCTGTAGCATTTGGCATATGGAACAACAGACAGCGATGGCAGCACGAGTGGTTCAGCACACACTTTTGTGATCAACGCAGACGCAGAGGCCGACTGCATGAGATCGATCCATCGTTTTAACATCCGCCTCCGGGATCACGGGGCCCCCATGAACTGATCAGCACTATGTCACTATGCTGTAGCACGTCTTCTACGTACAAGCGGTAAGGCGCATGTGCTAGAGCCTGCATGTGTGTGTACGCAGATCTGCATGCAAACCCACGAGCAAAGACAAAAGAGCCAGCAAATAAGCAAAAACAACAACAAAAGCACATAAGTAGTCAGTCCGACAAGCGGACAGGCAGACAGCCATGCACGGGAAGCCATCCTTGGTATAACCGAGTGCATAGCAACATGCAGATACACCGGGTTTGATACCGGGCAGTCTGATGTGATGTATTTTGCAAAAATCACTGCACACAGAGTATGCATGTCCCATGTGTGCACCCGTGTATGTTTGTATGTGCAGAAAATGTGGGTGGGTGGGTGGCTAAATCACATATATGCATATGTGTATGCGCAAAAAATGCATGTGAATGTCTGTGTATTGCAACCTTGCCTTTGCCCTGAGCCCTGAAGCCATCGAACCTCAAGCCCCTAAACCCTAAGCCCCTGCAGCCCTTAACAACCCCAAACCCTTTCTTCTCTTAGACGTTCGACCGGTCAAATCTGCTTTGAGCCTTGGGAACAACTCGAAGACCAGTGCATGTATGCATGTATACATACATACAAACATACATACATACGTGTATATATAACGATATATATATATATATATATTTATATATATATATATACATATTCATCTGCATATGTGTGTACCTATGTACCCTAAGCCCTGAGTCCAGAAGTGGTCAGTTGCGCCCCGTGACCCGGTATTGGTTTGCTTGCTTCAGTGGCGGGCCTCGGTTTGACGGTCGCAGAGCGAAAGATGCACCAAAAGATGCTTAGACAAGGGCTTCGCAAGGGTTGCATATGTGTGTATGTATATACACACATATATATATATATACAAATATGTATATGTATATGCGTATGTGTGTATATATATATATGCATATATATGTATATACATATGTAGATGTATGTGTAATTATGTACTATATAGATTTTTGGTTATAAAGACGGCCTTATAGATCCGATTATGTGACTCTGTACCTTAAAGTAGGGATCCAGAATAAGGGACCCTTCACCCTAAGCGCTGAGCCTGGACCCAAAATCCAGGCTTCTCTCCAGGACGCAAGCTTCAGTCTTTCCGGTTACCCATAAGAGGGAATATGTGGGAATTATGGTATATTCTTTATTATGGCTAATGCAGGGTTTATCATCAACCGATTTCTGGTGCACCGAAGTCTCTAGACTGTGTAGAAGCAATAGTTACCTGCATTATTCACTTTGGGTTCCCTGGTATATCTCTATCCGTATACCCATTGTTCCCAAAGATTTATCTTTAGTTCCCCTAGCACGCTGGACCCGCACGGGCTGGTTCGATTCTCCCTCGAGTTAACTTTTGTCTCCTTAGGAAATATTTTTGCATTTTTTGTTCATATAAAACCCAAGAGAATATTAAACAGATGTTTTTTTTCATGGTTCTAAGGGGTGGTATAGGTAACGAGAGAGCGAGCCGACTGCTTCAGGGGCTCAGGGTGTGCAGGTGAATGTCGACGCCCTTGTCGTGTCCTGCAAAACTTCCGTGAACTCAGATTCTCCGCGGGCCGGCATACACTCTGTCGCGGAGTTGGGGCTTCGGATTTCTTGCAGGTTTCGGATTTCGGAAGGTTTTCCTTATTATTATTATTATTATTATTATTACTATTATTACTATTATTACCATTATTACTATTATTACTATTATTACTACTACTATTATTACTACTATTATTATTGCTATTATTATACTATTCTTGCATTCTCTGGCCTCCACTACTGGCTCATTGGGCAGCTGCTTGGCTTGTAGAGGAGATTTACTGGGGGCTGTCCTAAGCACGGCCGTGCCAAAGCGCCGCCATTCGGATCAACACCCCATTCAATGATAACGTCCGGCTATTGCTTGCACCCCAAGCCCCAACGATTGCAAGAAGTGTTCCTACGGTGATCTGACACCCAGAGAAGCATGTTCCGTTTCATCGGCCTCCTCGCGGCTGCGGGGGCCTCGGAAGTGGCGGGGCAAAGTCGTGGGACGCTTGGTCTCTGAAGGAGAAAGGAAAGGGAGCCTTCCTTCTCCTGGCCCGAAGGGTGTACTGCGCGATTCGTAGAAGCGGAGATCAATAACCTGACTTACTTCACGTAGAGCTGTTCAGTGATTTCATTTGCCTGTGTGGTTCTCTTAGGATGTCCTTAAGGGGGGGTGGTCCAAGGGGGGTAGGTAACCTAGTAATCCCCATTATTCCCCAATACTCCCTAAGCTTCCCTAAGGTTCCCCAAAGCTCCCTAGTACCCTCCCCCCTTGAACCACCCCCCCTTAAGGATCCTATAATTCTCGCTTCCTTAGTCGTAGGAGGCTGACTTCTGAGTTTGCGACTTTTACCCTTCGATTTTCTTGGCTCGAGTCCCTTTGGCCGTAAGCTTCTTGAAATCAAGTTTGCCTAGTTGGCCATCTTTTGCATGGGCAGCGGGCGATCGAAGCAGTATCAAACCACCACCGCCGCCACTCAAAGCTCAACAAGCATGGCGGACGCGAAATCGATGGTCGCCGAATTCTCAAAGGGCTTGCCGATGACCCGGGACCTCACGGACGCAAAGGAGACCATGCGTGTCCTGGAGATCGCAAGCGAGATTATCAAGTCCGGCCACCCGATTCAGCAGTTTAAAGATGCATGCTTCGGCGATGCAGAGCCTCAGCTACCCTCTATAAGGATGGCACACATGCTCCTTTCTAATATGCATTCCTGTTAGGATGGCTTGACTTTAAATCCAAACACCCAGGAGGGGAAGAATGCGGGGCCTTCCGTGGTCGTGTCCGCCGTGGGCAGCGCAGAGAGCAAGATGAAGATGAAGACCTGCGGGCCCTTCCACATGATCTGCATCTACGCGATGTACGGCGAGCAGAACCGAATCCAGACGAAGGAGGGCCACAAGAATGGCCAGGACTTCATCAGGATGAAAGCGAAACAGCTCGAGTGGCTGTTCGAGGGTGAGACGGACAAGACCTGGGAGATCTACGCCGTGGACGATGGCTGCCCAAATGACTCCAAAGGTCTGGCACGGGCGATTATCGAGAAGGACGGGCTGAAGAACATCACGGTCTTGGATTTGGAGGATGCAGTGAAGGAAGGCATCGCCTACTTCACGGATCGCGGTCTTAAAGCCGGCTGCAAGGAATCACGAAAAGGAGGTGCCATCTTGTATGGTTTGTACACGGCATCCAAGAAGCAAGACGAGAAGGTGCCCCAGTTGGTGATGTACACGGACTCAGATTTGTCCACGGACATGAGCCTTTGTGGCCTCCTGGCCTCTGGCATCCTAGACGGCCATGCCATGAGCATGGGTGCACGCTACGGCATGCCGGAGACCTTCCTTGTGAAGCCCCCAGACTATGGCGCCTCAGGCCACCCTTTGTCGCACTTCGAGCAGCCTAACATGATGAAGATCGCTTTCCGCCATTACACCCGCAAGCGCCTCTTGCCCATGCTGGCGAGCATCTACGACACGCAGTGTGCCTTCAAGTGCTTCCATACCAAGGACGTCATGCCCGTCATCGAGCAGGTGAAGTCCATGGGCGCGGACTTCGACATGGAGCTCCTTGGGCCTTCCAGGGGAGAACTTCTCTTATACTAGGGTTATTATCAGGGTAATGATACTTATATGTATCTTCTCTTATACTAATTAGGATTATTTTAGGGTAATGATACTTATATCCACTTCTAACCCCACTTAGGGTACTTAGTAGCCTTACTAAGTCCCATAGTAGTGAGGAGCTCACGTCCTCGGCTCTTGGTTTATCCTGTTCATGATCTCCTAAGAGTAATAGTAATGATAATGCTAATGGTAACAGTAATAGTCGTAGTCATAGTCATAGTAATAATAGTAGTAATTGTAATAAGAATAGTAATGGTAATGGTAACAGTAGTAATAATAGTACTAGTAATAATGGTAATGGTAACAGTAATAGTAACCGCAGCTTCTTAAGAAGAGCCCAGGCTCCTGCTCTGCGCCTTGACCTATTTCAAGACGCAGGGAAGGGAAAAGATGTGCCACGTCTCGCCCACGCTCTTCACTGAGGAGAGGGGGTGGGGGTTTCCCTATCATTTCCATATTATTCCTACTATTATTACTAGTACTATTATTATTACTATTATTATTACTATTATTATTACAACTACTAGGTTTATAATAAGAACCTGGGGGAGCTGTCAATTTCAGGAAGCTCCTCGGGCCTAGGCTTGAAGTTTTGGATCCTTTGATTCTGTCACCAACGATGCATATTGATCCTACGGCTGATGGACAAAATCCTGCATGACCCGAAGGACTCTAAACTATGGGAACTATGGTATATCCCTTATAAAGGGTAATGCAGGATCTTGACCATCAGCAGTATGACTTAATCTGACAGGTCAACCCTAAACCCCGAACCCAAAGCCCTAAACCCTGTGCCCTTAGAAGACAGGACCTAACCAGCACCTCCACTTTTTCCCAAAAGTCCTGAAAGGATTTTGCCGAGTCCAACTTCATGGCATCCTCCGAGGATCCGGACAAGCCCTTCAAGAACCTCGGGTCTGAGATTAGCTTTGTTTTCCCACGCTACGGTTGATGATATGAATCCTGCATTACCTTCAGGACCCTAAACTATGGGAATTATGGTATATTCTTTATTCTGGGCTTTGTGGGATTTATATCATCAACCGTAGCATTGGGAGGGAGGAGGTCTGAAGAACTTGCAATGATTCTCCGGATCTCAAAACCGCTCTGTTCTGTCCATGTAATATTGGTGGAGGGTGGGTGGTTCTGAAGAGCTTGTAATGGTATTCGTCTGGTCTTCAACAGGTTCCTGTAGCTCAGTAAGTTTTACATCGCCGGGTTGTCAAAAGGTTGGTTTTACTGAGGCTAATGAGTTCTCATGTTCGACCGTCTGCAATCCTTTTCTGCCTCGGATTATGCAGACTGTGCGCAATCCCGTCAACTGAGCTACGAAACCCCATAAAGATTGTAGCGCAAGTATCGATCATAACAACCCCAAAAACGTCCTCGAACGTTTGTAGCTTTAAATAAGCGACAAGCCTTGTGAAACGCTATAGTTCCCAACCAAAGCAGCCAGAGAGACAAGACAAAGCAGCAAACGATATGAAGAAGTACTCTGAGTATTCCTTATAGGAATCTTTCTGATGGAAAAGACCGAATTATAACCAAGGTTCTTCATGATGAAAAGGAGAGTCCACAGAAATAACCCAAAGAAGTGCTCTCAGCATTCCTGAAAGTTCCTTATGATACAGAGAGACCTCAGTATAACCAGAAAAAGACAGCCCCCCAAGGACCTATGCCGCGATGACCACGGGCCTTGCCGACATGCACGAGCGATACATCCCCGCAGAGTCGCCAGAGGCAGAGGCAGCCAAGGACTTCAAAGAGTTCCTTGGGTTTGAGTAGTATACTTGAATACTTTTTTGAGGTACCTTTTCCTTAGAAAGGACCCATTATGAAATAAAAGTCTATAATTACTATTTTCTCCCTGGTTACTTCAAAGTCCAGGTTCTGCCGTGGTCTCACTTGGGAGATGTACAAGAACATGATCGCGGCTAGCCCGCCTTAAGGGGGCGTTTGGAGTCTGGGGGTTTCAAGGTTTTTTGGGGGATTCTGGCTTAAGATGCAGAAATGGGGGGAGTCGAGAAGGAAGTTTGCGATCATTTTGAAACCAAGCCCAGGTGAAGCTGGAGAAAGACCTCGGCCCGACTTTGTTTGACTACGATTTCACTTTGGACCAGCTTAAGGCAGCGTCTGCGGCTTGAGCACCCGAAACACAGAGCCTTGTTTTCCCCTTGCTAGCTTAGGGACATCTTCTAGCTGAAAATTCAGCCTCCAGTCACCGACTCAAGCCAGCGACTGATGCAAAAAAGGGCGTGAGCACAAGCAGATGCCGGCAGGGCACACATGCCAAAATTATGGTCCCTTTTGGGTACCCTAAATATTAGGCGCCGTGCTATATTATGGGCCCAAAAAGGGACCATACCTTTGACAACCTCCCACATCTCGCCCCTTCGGTCTTCACGGGATGTTTTGCCTTCTCCAGCCTTCCCCACACGATGTCCAAGGGCCGGGATTCCCCTCATCCTTGCCTTTGGTTAGTAGGGAATGGAGGAATGGGGTACAAGTATAACTACTATTACTACCATTCTTCCATTCCCTACTAACCAAAGGTAGGTTATCTGAGGTTTTTGTGGTATATTATACCATGTAATTATAATAAGGAGCCCCCAAAACAGTGTAGGTAACTCTTTGCTCATCTTCACGCCCCACTAACCAAAGGTATGTCGCGCCAGATGGCTGTGCCAAGCCTTTCGGAGCCGGCCTCTCAGGATGAAGTTGCAGAAGCCTAGTAGTAGTACTAGTAGTAGTAGGAGGAGGAGGAGTAGTAGTAGTAGAGTAGGTAACCTTTAGCCTTTTTAATTTTGGGTAGTATAGTCCCTAAATAATCCCTATGTAACCAAAAACGTTAACCTTTAGTTCCCCATGATACCCGACAAGTAGGGAAAAGAAGGTGTGAGTTGCGGGTTGCGGCAAGGGCAAGGGCCTGCCTTGAGGAAGATCGCTTCTGGCTCGCTGCTGACCATGCGCCCGACGCCAACAAGCGTGAGCACTCTACGGATCGTAGGCTCCTGGCGCCTGGTGCAATCTCATGCTGCTGTTGTCATTGTGGATCGGCTGCAGCCTGCTTGCTAGTGACGGCGATTATCGTGGTGATCACGACGATGTTCATGGTGATGGTGAAAAGGAGCAGGAGGAGGAGTCTGAGTGATGATGGCATGATCTTGGTGATATGATGACAACATGGTTTTGATGATGGCAAGGACGGTGATGATGATGATGATGAAGATAAAGATGGATGAGCATGAATTCTATGGCTCTATGGCCATAAGACACTCATGATGAAGACTGAGCGATGCTGTCGTGTCTCTGATGGTCAAAGGATGTTTGCGACGTCACATCATTCGTTTCAAAGAGGAATAACGTAGTCCCGCATTTTGTTGTCATCGCCAGCTAGACTACAATGACATTGACGACGATTGACGACAATCAGCCTCCAATCGCATATTCGCACCACGGTATTCGCACGAAAGATATGGTCTTTGTACTGCCCATCACAGCCGCTTGAGTCCTAATGGAACGAGTCAGTGCAGAAAAAAAGCCACCCACACAATGCGGAGGTGATTTTCACTGCACAACAGCCACCTTGAATGGAAACTTGAGTTGTGTTTGCATATATAGACAGCCTTCTCCGTCGTGGGGATGATGGTAGTTGTCGTCGTCATCGGAGTCGTCGTTGCAGCACGGTAGAAGAAGAAGCAGCGGCAGCACCTTGCATGCTCCTTCGATGTGCATCGGGACAGGCAGTGCTGATGCCCTGCGGTTCTGACAATGCCAGGCGAGTCTCAGGGTTAATGGCGGCGCAGATGAGTTGAAGCCGGGACTTTTTAGGTTCTAAAGGGTGGACTCCTAAAGCCCCCGTACGCAGCTGAGGGGACATGTTAGTGAAGCCTTTTTCCTGCCATTCCCAGTTTGAGTTGTCCGATGATGGTCGTCTTTGCTAGGGTTGTATTTTTTGGGGTAGCTGCTCAAACTTGCGGCTCTTGCCGATGGTCGATTGCACGACCCGCAACCTCTCAGCACACAACACTCAGGAGGGAGTTTTCCACCGACATGTCAAGCCCAAATTTCCCATATCTGAATGCTAAGCTTCGCCCTGCGGCAAATTTCCCATCCCCCAAACTGACAATTTTCCACCGCGGAACCCACAGCCAAAGGCCTTCCAAATCTCCGTACCTCTAAAAACTAAAAGCGGTTCAAGATTGCCTTGAGCAGCACGTCTGGGAGCACGTCTGGGATCCGAAGTTAGACCTTGCCTTACATACGACTGGGATCTTTATTCTTGCAAGCCTGCATATGGGTGGTTGTCAAAACTAGGGTCCCTCATTGGGTCCGTATTATAACACGGTACCCAATATTTAGGATGCCCAAAAGGGGGCCCTAATCTTGACAACCACCCATATGGCAGCCTCTCAAAGGATATGCGGGGTAGCGGGGTAGTTGCTTTTCCTTTGGAATCTCGCAGCTTTCGGGCTCCGGATCCCCCTGAGGCTCCATGTGCCCATATAGTATATACTTAGGCCTTAGAGTACCTAATTAGGGACTCGGTACATGGAGCCTTTGGGTCCGGATGCAAGGGCAAAGCGCAATTTAGCTTTAGAAGTTCGTGCTTTTAAACAAGCTTAAGAGCTTAAGAGTGTCAGCCCTGAACCCTGGATCTTAACAGTCCAACCCAAAGCCTCAACACCCCTGGCTGTACAACGACTAAAGCAAAAGTCACTATTTCGGTAGACCATAGGTCATGCTAGTAGTATATCATAGATAGAACGTATCACATCATACCTTAACCTACCAGAACATACTTTTTTGTAGGGTCCCTCTACATCCCATATTAGGGTTTACAATAAGAACCTACAAAAAAGTAGGGTTTAGTCACCTTTAGGGTACCCAAAAAGGGGACCGTAATTTTGACAGCCACCCAAACCATAGATAGAACGTATCATATCATAGTCCTCCTCTGAGCCACGCTGTGCGAGACGAGGCGGCCGATCACGCTCTTCCTTGCTCTTCTGCTGTCCTCGATCCTGGGTTGGGGCCTTGGGCAGCGAAAGTATAGGGTTCCTTGAAAAAAGATGGCTATAAAAACTGGAGTTCAGGAAACAAAAAAAGCAGTGGCTTACTCCTGCTCCGCGGCCCATCAGGCTATCTCAGCTGGCAGCACGGCGCTCAGCCTCCATAGTAAGGGCACGGACCTGAAGCAACAAGAGGTTCTTCGCAGGCGCGTAGTAATCTCAGCCCTAAGCCTTAGGGGCAGCAGATATCAGATATGCAAGGGTGATAGTAGACCTAGACCTACCCCCCAAGCATAGCGCAAGGCACGAGTTCGAAGGCACGAGTTCGAATCCTGACCCATAGTTCATCAACGTGCAGTTGCTGTGCTCAGAAAAAGTCGGTAACCAAGAAGCAGCAAATCCCTTAACCCGGCCTAATCATATCATACAAATTAATATCATATGGTATGATATACACACACATATATATATATATATATACATACGTATATGTTATCGCTGAGAGACTCCTGCATATATGAACGGATGGATGTATATGTAGATAGCAAGGCAGATCGGTAAATAGATAGATTAGTAACCAGACGGATGGATAGACCGATCGATGGACAGACAGACAGACAGACAGAAAGCACGAGAGATAATTAGTTGCATGGATGGTCAGAGAGATACGTAGATAGGCGGATAGATAGATAGATAGATAGATAGCTCGATAGGTAGATAGACAGATAGTAGGGCTTCAGCAGTAGACTTTAGGACTTGTCTGCACGGTGCACGTATGGAGTCTTGGTTTCAGTGTGGTTTGTTCTGCTTTTAGCCTTGTGTTTTAGGGTTTAGGGGTTTAGGTTTCCAGAGTTTGAAGCCTTCCCCGCGGCAAACGCCCACAGCTCCAAGGGATTGTTCTCCCCAAACCCCGCTCCTTTACGAAACCCAGGGTTTAGGGGTATATTATACTATAGTCATAATAAGGAACCCCCAAAACTCTTTTCTAATTATTAAGCCCTAATATCAACCCCTTTGCGAAACCCAGGGCTTGGGTACTGCCCGCACTCAGTAACAGTTGGATAAGATTCATACTATAGCTAAGTAGGCCTATTACAGACTGTTACTGTATGGGGGCAGTACGAAATCCAGGGCTTTGGAAAATCGGGTTTAGTGGTATATTATACTATACAGTAAACCCCATAAAGTTGGAAACCGGATTAAGGCCAAATAATGCCGAAATTCCCTATACATTACTCCTAAGGATTGAGGCTATGGGATTTCCAACTTTTGGGCTTCTACTGTAATTAAAATAAGGAACCCCCCAAAACTCTTTTCTAATTATTCAGGCCCCTAATGGAAACCCAAGGCTTTGGAAATTCGGGGTTTTGTGGTATATTATACTATACTGTAATTATAATAAGGAACCCCCAAAACTCTTTTCTAATTATTAAGGCCCCCCCAGGGCTTTAGAAATTCTGTGTTTTTTGTTTTGGTCCAAAAAAGGCGGCTCGGAAGCTACGCCTCCTTCGGCCTTGTCCGGCAGCACCGGCGGCTGGGATTCTATTCTACATTGGGTGGTTGTCAAAATTAGGGTCCCTTTTTTGGGCCCTTATGATAATAGGATTCTAGAGTATACCATATGGGATAATATGGGGATTCATAGGGAGGTTTAGGGTTTAGGTTCTAGGGTATGGGTGGTTGTCAAAATTGTGTGGTCCCTTTTTGGGGTCCTTATCATAATACGGCACCTAATATTTAGGGTACCCAAAAAAGGGACCATCATTTTGACAGCCACCCGCATGTTTTGCGTAGATCTTGCGTTTTAGGCTTCAGAGTTTGGGATCCTCTCTACAGCCGGAGTCCCTTTAGGAGGAGATATGTCGGCCCTCGTAACCTAGTATAGCTGCCACCGGTCCCTTGTCGAAACTTGTATCACAAGGCAGCCTGCCAAAGGCACATCTAGATATTTTTCATGCTGATCGATATCACAGACAGAAGGCATCTCTATCTCATCTTTAGACTCCGGTGACAGAGAGAGAGTGTGTGTGTGTGTGTGTGTGTGTGTGTGTCTGTGTGTGTGTCTGCGTGTCCGTCTGTGTGTCTGTGTGTGCTCCAGGGGTATGCTTTTACGTTGTCGTTAGGAAGAGTTTTAGATGAATGTTCTAAAGCAAAGGATGCTGAGTGCGGTTTTCCGCTTTCGGGCGTCTGTACACGATGAGAGTAGGTAGGTATTCGCGCTGCATGGGCCAACGCAGAGAGTGTGCTACTTCAACTCTTGTTGAACAGTTGTTTGGAGGGATTGCGCTGACCCAGGCTCCGTTCCTTGAGCAGGGAGGTCGTGTAACGACTTGCTTCGGGCAAGTGTTCTTCTGAAGGTTTGTAGTCGCACCAAGAGCATCACCATATTAGCACTATCAAAGTGGTTGTAACCTCGACACCCTCAACTACCCAAGTGTTGATGCCGTCTTGCTGCATGTTTCCGGCACCGTCATGTAAACCGCACCCCACAGTGCCCTGTCTGCTTGTCTGCTGTGCTTGCATCCGACACCCTCATGTAAACCTCTCCCCCAAACTCCCCCCCCCCCCACCCCCCACAGTGCCCTCTCTGTTGTGCTCTTGAGTCCATGTTCAGCGCCTCGAGGTCAAGGACTCCTCCTTCCGTGACGAGGTGAAACTCGGTGAAGCTCGGGGACTCGGGGCTTCTGCTTCGGGGGCGTTGGTGTAGTTTTTTGCCCTTGGAGTTCAGGAGCCCTCTGAAAACTTTTCACTCCACGAAGTCGCGAAGTTTCTGGGCTCTGACGCCCCCCGAAAGGTCAAGTTCAACTCCGACGACGACCAGCCTCCCAGCCACGAGGCAGGGGAGGAACGACTCGATCCGGCGGGCGAGTGAACAGACCCTGAGATTCGTGAACAGGAACGTCTTTGTCGTATGGCGCTTCCTGAGGGGGGGTAGGTGTCTGAACTCCCTTCACCAGCAAGACCCTGCAACACCCCTAAACCCTAAATCCCCAAAGCCTTTCAAAAAAGATCTGAAACTCCTTTACCGGCACTTCCCCGCATTTGTTTTGCAAGGGCTACTTTCTGTGATTCTGCTTCAGACGCCAGAAGCTGAACTGGTGCATGTCCTTGTAGCCTCAACCGAAGTATACGGCTTTTTGTCCAATAAAAACGTCTTCCAACCACAAAAGCCCCTGTATCGGGCATCAGGTTCCCGGGCCCCAAACCTACCCTGCCGTAAGCAGACCTACATGGGTGGTTGTCAGGACTATGGTCCCTTTTTGGGTCCAAAAAGGGACCCTAATTTTGACAACCACCTACATTGAAAGCTCCCGGCAACCCCACTGCCCTAAACCCTTCAACTGGAAGATTCTAGAACCCCAACCCGAGAAGACATCTTCCAAGCCCCCATATCCTGACCCTAACCCAAAGGGTCCAAGTATCATTATGGTATATACCTATATAGGGTATTTTGCGGGTCTCAGTATATACCATAATGATACTTGGACCCTTTGGGTAAGCTCGTCGGTCTCGATTCTCGATACTATAGGGGCCTTAATAATTCCCTATACCCGTTTTAAAGGAACCCATAACCCACTATAGGGGCCTTATTAATTCCCTATACCCCTTTTAAAGGAGCCCATAACCCATAAGACCTGATCCTCCCAGCTCTTCACGCGAGGCCCAGCGCCCCAGCAGTGCTTACGACGTTGGCTCCGACCCATCCGCCTGCGACCCTGAGCCTCCTCTGAAAGAATCTTGCTTGCTTAAAGGATCATGGGACTTAGTAAGTAGGGCTCCTTAAAAGGGATCTATAGGGGTTCCTTAAAGGGATCTATAGGGTTTAGGGTTTAGGGGCTTCTTTTCGGAGAAAGGGTGTTGGGATTAGAGTTTTGGTTTTGGGGATAAGGTTTTGGGGTTGAGACGTTTAGAGGTCTACTGCAGGCACCTGATTCACACACAAACCCCTTCTGTCTCAGTGCCCCAATACTAGGATCCTGTGAGAACCCTTCAGGTGTTCAAGGTTTTGGCTTCTTTAGTGTGGTTCGGCTATGGTAGGTCTTGGGGCAAATTGGCTTCCGTCGGCATGCTCAGAGCAGTACAGTTCTCCAGTCTTACAAGAAACATAGCATGGATAGTATGTTAGGCTTGGAGAAGCTGCACAAGGATAGACTGCAGGACGACAAGACAGAACTGATGCAGATTTGTAGCGGTTCTTGCAAGCTCCATGTCTAGCTATATCTTCATCACATACTCTCCGCAGAAAAGTCTTGTTTTTGAGGTTTGCCGGAATCCGTATAAAGGACTGATCATGGCTGCTTCCCCCGGAGGTTGAAAGCGGACGACTGCGACTGGAAAGAGACAGCCGGCTGCTTGGCCTTCGGTGTTCTAAGCCAACTTGGAACCCTTGGAGTTTCCGAAAAGTAAGATCCTTATTACAAGGACCCCAACATCAGGTACCCCTAAGTTTCGGAAACTCCCCTTTCGACCCTAAAGGATTCAGGGTTTAGGTCTTAGGGTTCAAGATTAAGTTCAGCTGGCCTTTCGTTGTCGGTCTTCGTCCACGAACCTGGAAACGTCATGAGAAGTTGGCACGCACAGAAAGCTTTCCTATCAGGCCGGTGCAAGGGCTTATGAAGGTTCAGGGGCCTGAGCTGAGGCTGACAGACTGCAAACTATTAGCTTGGTCAGGGGTTCGACGGTGAAAAGAGGAATCCCCGTGTGTAAGAACCATGTATTTCGGTGTCGACCTTAGTATTGCTTCCGACTCTCCGACGATCAGCTCCTCCGTACTCATACCCCACCCATGAAACAGCACATGTGCATATGTGTATATGTGCATGTTTAAGCGCATACATACACGCACAAACGCAAAAATCATTTACTGATTGTCGCTGACGTGCATGTGTGGGTACCCGTGTGGTCATTGCGGTATGTTATAACATAGTGCGTGCCTGTCTGTTCGGTTCTCCGCTTGTCTGTCTGTATGTATGCATGTGTTTTACCATTCAAGCACGCATTGTTGGATGCATACAAGCCCACAGAAAGGCCTATTTGACATCTCCGAGTGAGTGAATGAGCAGATGCTTCCCATCTGCGCATGTGGCGTGACCCTGTAGGAGAGTGCACTCGCATGCCCTTTCAGAGAGAGACAGAGACAGAGGAACAGATGGGTAGTTGTCAAAATTGGGGTCCTTTTTTTTGGGTACACTAAGTATTAGGTGCCGTAGTATATATTAAGGACCCCAAAAAAGGGACCCTAACTTTGACAACCACTCAGATGCTCCTAGACCCAAGCCCCACCCAAACCGAGACACAACCTGCTTGGCCCAATCTGCCAAGTTGCCAGTCGATCCCAAACGACTCAAAGCTTAAAATCCTCTGATGGCCCTTGCATACCTAGTAATAATATATCCTAAAAGCCCCCTTTTTGAGGCCCCTATGTTCCTGAGATGATGAGATGAGTAAGAACGAACTGGTTTGGCTTCTGAAGGGGTCCCAGCTTGCCGACCAAGGAAAAGCTGAGCTTTACGTGGACCCAGCACTCGCGCGGCGTCGCCCGCACGCATCACCTGGACTGCGAGAAGCAGAGGTGATACAGCGAGTTCTTTATATGGGTGGTTGTCAAAATTAGGGTCCCTTTTTGGGTCCCTATTATAGTACGGCACCTAATATTCAGGGTTATTACCCAAAAACGGATCATAATTTTGACAATCACCCAGATGTTGTTTCCAGTGTTGCTTCTTTTGGCGCCGTGCTTTCCAGGTGTTCTGGATCATGCGTGTCGTGGAAAACTGCTGGTGCCAAGCTCCCAAATGGGCCTGTCAGTGCTATGACAACAGCGGCGAATCGGACATTCTTGTTGTTAGTGCTTGAACACAGCCAGATTTTTAAACCATGCTTGTCAGAACCATCACTGCTGTGTGTTCATGCTCTCTCTTGCGGGCTGTATCTACTACCCCGGACCCTAAATCCTAAACCCTAAACCCTAAATCCTAAACCCTAAACCCTAAATCCTAAACCCTAAACCCTAAAAGCCTCAAAGCCTGAAAAACCAAAGGAGTGGTTCACCAAAACTGGTTGCTTTTCTTCCGCATGGTTGCCTCTGGCGCGACACGACCGGTGGCGGAGCCGCTTCGCAGCAGCTTTGTGAATAGGCGAACAGCTGGGGAAAACATGCATAGGGCCGGGATGTCCCGCATACACCCATTTATAGTGAAGCCCAGCAAGGTAGGTATCTCGCGGATCATCCTTATGTCCTTTGGGGCCCATAGTTGTCTTGAAAGTAACTGGGACTCTTGCTGTCAGTAACGGTTTGCAGAAGGATGTAATCAAAGTATTGTTGGGGCATTGGGAAGGGTCTTAAGGCGACGGTACAAGGGTTCAGTTTAATGGGGTTCTGCTGTGGTGGCATAGGTGTCTTTAGGGCGAGGGTTTTAAATGGAACAAGGAGCTGACTTGAAGTTGCTGCATTAGCAGGATATGGCACATGATGTGACGTTCTTCTGCAACCAGCAGCCAGCAGATGTTGCCTAACACCGAGATGTCAACGTGGCAATTATGCCATTGCCGATTCCTTGGATTCCGCGTGTTGCAGAGGCTTCAGGTTTGCGGATGAGCGTTCAGGGCTTCGGGTATTAGGGTTGAGGAGCATCCAAACACCCTACCACCACAAGACCGATCCCGCCGCTTCACCCCTAGAACTTGAGCGAAGAGAGTCTTGTCGGGGTATGAAGAATTAGAAATACTAGAGTAGTCCCCATGTATTCTGCGTAGAACTATACGATGATGTTCTGCCGCGAAACGTCTGGCCATTAAAATGATATGGTCGTTAATCATGAGGACACAGAGTGCAAAAGCCTGCTATCATTGGTGATGACGATCACCACATTAGCAAAGTCAGGATACATTCGCAAAGCGAGATTATGGACCAAAAATCCCTGGTTCCCAGGACCTTTGAATTGGTCTCCGTCTTGGGCGGCCGGTTTCGGCCGCTTGGTGCCCAACATCCAACTCTTTTGGGCGAAAGGGTGGGCAGGCCAACCTCGCCGTGAAAGATGTCTTTCACCCCCTGTCCGCGCCCAACCTTCTGTGAAAGATAAGACTTCATCCTTCACTCGCATGAGAGTCCTCAACAACCCTGACATGGTGCCTGGGCTGAGGTTGAGTGGATGTTAGGGCTGAGGGTTTGTTTATGAGGTAAGGTTGTGTAGAATTTAAGTTAGCTGCGAACCTTCATATCTCCAGAAGACAACCTGCGAAGCAAAGCTGTTAACCACACTAAACTGTTGACTAACCTAAGCCTGCAGCACCCTGCATGATGGGAAGTATGCTACAAGGGCTTCTTGGTTTGACCGTTGATGCTACAGGTGGTTCAATAGGCTCTCGTTGCCGATGGCTGCCCTGAGGTTCATGCTTTCGGAGCATGGCCCTAACTACCTGGAATGGCGAACCGAAGTATGGACCAATGATAGCCACACGTCTGCATACTGTCGACATCTTCGTGTCGAATATGCCTGAGTCACTAGTGGCAGAGGAGCCTTAACTCCGTGTGGTCGAAGTATTCATGCCCCCTAAAGATCAATCTCGGATGGTCATTGTGATCATTGATTGGCTTCTGGCATTTACTCTAATCGGCCTTATGACGACAGTGTTGTTTTTTGATCAAATCCCATCCTTCCTAGTCAGGTAGCGCCTCGATCTTCTCCGGCCTGGCCGTCCCCTTCCTTGCAGGACTCGGCGTTCCATCGAGTCATACCATGGGAAGCATCGAAATCGCGGTGATAGTACTAGTGCGAGCACTTGCACCACTACTGCTGCGATTCCCCTTCCTCCACCTCCTCATCTTACCACTCCTACTAGTACTGCTACCCCACCACGACGACGACTGCTACTACTGCGGCTCCTCCTGCTGCTACAAATATCGCGGAACCACCTCGCCGAAAATTATCTTAACGGCAATATTCCGGTGACAGTGGCGGTTTTTCGATGCAAGAAGCTTGCAAGTACGGACCTAGCAGATGAATACAGAAAGATCCTGGACTAAAGAGGCCTGTAGGCCTCCTCGGACCTCTGCGGCTCCTGACTTAGCCTCTCATTGTCTAAACAGGACCACAAAGAGGACAGCCTCCTACATCTTACATCCCGAAGGCGCTGCGCTTGTCTTCCCTAAACCCGTAAACCCTAAAACCAATTAAACCCCTACGAGGACCCCCGGACTGTGACCTGGAACTCTCCGGGCCCGTTGCCTTCTACCGACACCTCTCCCCTCAGACTCTCGGCTTTTACAGCTATATCTATCAGTTTCATACTAGGGACTCCAAAAGCACATAAGAATCAGCATTATATGCGGATATCCTTACCTTGTTGGGCTTCATTATATTATGAGGGGTAGTCAGCTCGATAAGAAGTAGCAAACCCTAAAAACCGTAGTCAGCTGGGTCGTGACAATGCTGACGCGGGTAAGAAGTAGCTTGCCTTTTAGCTTTCTGAAGAGGAGATTCGAGCTTTAAGAAGGCACACGGGGGGACGAAGAGGTTCCAAAGAAAAGCTGGGAAAGCTGCTGTCTTGGGTGCCTGAGGTCTCCCCAACAAGATGATTAAACCTTTAATTCCTGAAGCCAAAGTTGTTAATCCAGCCTAGCTTTAACAGACCTTCCTTCTCCAGTACAGTACGGTCACCTCCGTGGATTTTCTTTCAAAGACCACCAAGGAACTTCCAGTATGGGCACCTTCTTCTGGATCTTCTGCCGCTGCTCCACTTCCTGGCGACAGAAGAGCGAGAATCCACACTGGTGCTTCAAAGGGACCCAGTGCCTTGGCTTCGAAAGGTTTGTTCTCGGTTAGGGCTCCGGGTGTTGAAGTTTTGGCTAGGGCTCCAGGTGTCGAAGTTTTGGCTTCCAAACCCACATGTGACAGATGGATCTCACAGCTGAGGTTTTCGGGGTCCGAAGACAAAAGTACACCCCCAAAGTTGAACCCCTGGAACACTCAAAGCAAAGCTCGACGATTCAGGAAAGCATCATTGCAAGCTTCATGCGATGGTACGATGGACGCCTGACTGTCTTCAGGATGGATGCAACGGCTTTTCATTTCGGCTTGAGTCAGTAGGACAGGCCATTCATGAATAGCTCAGAATCTGCTCAACTTTGGCAGCAAAGCAGCAGCACCTCCACCTGAAATGTCGATTTGTCGTTTACGTCTGAGGTGGTCGCTGACGTGCTTCTTTGACTGATAGTATTGGTAGTTATTAAGGCCCCTATATTCTTGTAGTATCCTCATAGATCCCTTATTCAAGAGCCTCCGGCTCAAGCCGGTGACCCCGCAGGAGTCCGAGGAAAGGACGTTAGGGTGTGGCGTTGCGTTGCAGTACGGAGTTTACCCAGGTGTCGCAGCAGCTTCAGAGGCCCACCTGACCTCTCAGAGGTGGCCCTCCAGACTATAGTCTTATTATACATGTAAGTGCACATATGTATATATATATATATACACACATGTCGGCTCCAAGGAGGCCTTTATATTTCTCAAGTTATGTGAGTACACTTGTACGTGCATATAGTGTGTATGTATATACACATATGTATGTGTGTATGTATATATATATATATATATATATATATATCGCTGCATCCGCGGCTGTCGGCTTCGGGGACCGGGGAGCTCTGCCCAAGCCCAGATTTGAGATGGGGTTAGGATTAGATAATTGGGGTTCGGTAGCGGGTAGGGCTGAGGGTTCGCCGTGGGTCGGCGTTAGGTCGTCTAGGGTTGGCAAGGGTTCGCCAAGGGTCGGCGTTAGGTAGTCTAGGGTTGACGCGTTCGCCGTGGTCGGCGTTAGGTCGTCTAGGGTTCGCCAAGGGTTCGCCAAGGGTCGGCGTCAGGTAGTCTAGGGTTGACGCGTTCGCCGTGGGTCGGCGTTAGGTCGTCTAGGGTTCGCCAAGGGTTCGCCAAGGGTCGGCGTTAGGTAGTCTAGGGTTGACGCGTTCGCCGTGGGTCGGCGTTAGGTCGTCTAGGGTTCGCCAAGGGTTCGCCAAGGGTCGGCGTTAGGTAGTCTAGGGTTGACGCGTTCGCCGTGGGTCGGCGTTAGGTCGTCTAGGGTTCGCCAAGGGTTCGCCAAGGGTCGGCGTTAGGTAGTCTGACGCGGGTTGACGCGTTCGCCGTGGGTCGGCGTTAGGTCGTCTAGTCTAGAGTTCGCCAAGGGTTCGCCAAGGGTCGGCGTTAGGTTGACAAGGGTTCGCCATAGGCTCGGGTTGAGGGTTCGCCATGGGTCGGCGTTAGGTAGTCTAGGGTTGACGCGTTCGCCGTGGGTCGGCGTTAGGTCGTCTAGGGTTGGCAAGGGTTCGCCAAGGGTCGGCGTTAGGTAGTCTAGGGTTGACGCGTTCGCCGTGGGTCGGCGTTAGGTCGTCTAGGGTTGGCAAGGGTTCGCCAACAGGTTGGCGGCTTCTACGCAGATGCAGCGTATGGTTTTGAGTAAGTCGTGGCATTTGCACCATGCACATCTTGCCCCGTACAAACCCAACAACTCCCTATCAAGCCCTCTAAACTCAGTATATAGGGCCACTAAAGCCCATCAAAATAGGTAGAACCTACATGCCAGTCCGGGGCTAACCGGGTCCTTTCCATTATGGAACCGGGTCCTAGGACTTAGTGTGTTCTTGTCCTAGGACTTATGATGTTGATGTGACATGGAATGTAGCAAGACATGTGTTCTTGTGGCTCAATGGAAGACATGCTGGACATGTGAAAACTTGTGTTCTTGCGGCTCAATGGAAAACAAGAACTGAAAACTTGGTCTCTTCCAAATGGAGATGCATACCTGAAAAACTGTGTTCTTGTCGCTCTATATGGAAGAAGCGAGATGCTGGACATGTATAAAAAGATGTGTGCTTGTGGCTCGATAGAAAAATCAATGCCTGAAACTTGGTTTGATCGAAATGTGAAACATATACATCGAAAAATAAAAGCCCTACTGATATAATTGCCTGTCCCAAGTTTTGTAGTTCACATGGAAATTAAAGTTGCCAAAAAAATGAAAATACGTTTATGCCGAACAAACCAAACAAATGTAACTTGGTGTTCTTGTGGCTCAACGGAAACAAAAAGCTTGAGATTTTGTGTTCTGAAACCCTAAAGTCAGCTGTTTGTACGATTCAGAACAACTTGAAAATTAGCATGTTCATGATTAAACATGAAGGGAATCTGAACTTTCGTAACGTCCAGCCCATGCCCTAAACCCTGAACCCTAAACTCTAAACCCACCCAACCCCCAAACCCGCCCACCCATTCAAGCCCAGAAGCTGCAGGTAGGAAGGGGCACACAGGTAGGTAGAGAGGTATAGTTAGGTAGGCAAGTAGGTATGGATAAGTAGATAGGCAGGAGGGAAGGTACTTGTAGGTGTAGGTGCGTCGGCAGGCTTCCAGGTCGGTAGGTAGGTAGATAGATAGCTAGGTAGGCGGGCATGTAGGTAAGGAGGCATTATGAGGAAAGAGGTTTAAAACCCCTAAACCCCTAACCCCTAAACCCTGAACCCTAAATCCAAAACCCGAAACCCTAAACTAACCTTCAACCCTAAAAGGTAGCAGGCAAAAGTAGTTGTAGGCATTCGTGCAGGCCCTGTCAGGATGTCAGGTGGCCACATCAAGGTCTTCGGAGCCCCGTACAGGGGCGTACCCGCGCCAAGGCCTGAATGGGCCGCGGGATGAACCCCGAATAGGGGTGAGCTTGGACCCCGAAGAGGGGTCGTCGGAGCCCCGTACAGGGGCGTACCCGCACCAAGGCCGAAAGGGCTGCGGGATGAACCCCGAAAAGGGGTGAGCCTGGACCCCGAACAGGGGTCGTGAGAACCCCGTGCAGGGGTGTGGATGAACCCCGAACAGGGGTGAGCTTGGACCCCGAACAGGGGTCGTTAGAGCCCCGCACAGGGGCGTACCGATGAACCCCGAAAAGGGGTGAGCCTGGACCCCGAACAGGGGTCGTGAGAACCCCATGCAGGGGTGTGGATGAACCGCGAACAGGGGTGAGGATGAACCCCGAGCAGGGGTGAGCCGGACCCTCAAAGACTGATGCAGAGAGAGAGAGAGGGAGAGAGAGAGAGACACAGCGAAAATAATTAACGAAGCAAGGAAGGAAGCAAGGAAGGAAGGAAGCAGGGAAGGAAGAAGGAATGATCAAGATGAGGGTGTGACTGTAGATGCGAGGAATGAGCAGGCAGCAAGGAGTGATGTGAGGGAGGCGGGAAGGGAAGGAAGAGAAGGAAAGTCATGCATGGCATCAGTATCCCTCTGCTCACTTTCAGTCTGTCGGCGGCCAGGCTGAGACAGTCTGCGCATCGAGATCCTCGAAGAGCCCCGGCCTAAGCCACACGGCCTTCCAAGACTTGACGGCTGCACCATGGGTTGCTTCCAAGCTCAACATGTTGAACTGCAGCAGCTTTTCAGCTCAAGATTCAACGCGATCGAACCGTTTTTGTCTGAGCGAGTGTACTCCGACTGAGGCGATTGTCCTCATGCAAACAAGGCAGTATTATTGACATGCGCATACACGCAGATCGTCAAAGACACGACTAGGAAAGAAGTGCCCCAGTTCGACGTACTGCCACGGAAGTGCAGCAATGGATCGAACGGATTTTGGCAGGCTTCATGGACCTGAAGGAAGTGACGATGACGATCGAACGACTCCTTATCATTCGGATGATAGCGATGGTTCCGCGGCCGATGCCACTACGGAAATGGAAAGAAACATGTTTACGAGAGAAGAATTCCAGCGAATCTGCACCGACCTGGTGCTGGGATGTGTCATGATGAACTTGTCAATGGGATGGCAAATGGAGCGGGCTTTTTTGAGCGATCGGCAACTACGAAGTTTGCTACAGCACTTCCAAACCAAGCACAACAGACGCGGATCCTCTGCAGGTGATATTGTGGAAGCAGGTGTACAGGAACGGATTCCAACAATGCAGAAAGTACGCATGGTTCGACAATGCGACGTACTCCAAGGAAAGTTGCGAATGGAAGTGAACCCGGTAGATGCAGAGAGATTGCGGGGCTTGGTTGAGCAGCCTCCCGGCTGGGATTGGGATTTGCCTGATCGAGGAACCATGGAAAGGCTTTGCGAGGGCATTCTGGCCAACTCGTTTGAGTTTGAACGGATTCCAGTGACGGATGCTAGACGGATGGCAGTTCAATACTGCGAGGTCATCCGTCCACTGTTCGCTGTGAGATTCCTGTCAATGGTGTTGCTGGGCATGCGGGACACGTACAGAGATCAGCTTTGGTTTCTGCTTCGCAGGCATGGAAGAGTCCTGAACGTATAGACGGACTGTACGTATACGCAGTCTCCGAAAAACTTAAAGGGACTGATGTACGGATACACAGTCTCACAATAAACCAGCAATGGCGAGAAAAAACGTGTCACTTGCTTAACAAATTGCTTGACGCGCCTTACTAAATTGCTGGACCTAAACCCTGAACTCGTCGACCTGAGGTCAAGCCTTCTTCATGCCAAATTCGCTGGCAAGATCGACATTGTGTTTGGAGGCTCGTCCGGCTGCTCATGTTTGCATAAAGCCTAAACCCTAAACATCCGGCCGGTACCACTACAAGATTGCGCGCCCGGCACGCGTACGCCTGTGCGCCCGGAGCGCGTTCGCCTCAACTCCCGGCGCGCAGACCTGTGCACGTTGCAAACAGACTAAAGAATTGTATTATCACGTCCGGCACGCCCGGCGTGCACCCGCTGCGCGCCCGGCGCGCGCCCGCTGCACACCCGGCGCGCGCACCCTGGGTATATTTGGTTTTGGGTGGTAAACGACCGCCACATGTCATTCCTGCGCGCCCGTCGCAACCCGCTGCGCGCACATGTGTAAATTCTGTTGCAAGCATAATATTATGGAATAGTGTAAATATAGTATAGTACACGCTTACACTTCGCGCGTACGCCTGTACGTGCGGCACGCGCCCGCCCGCGCGCCCAGCGCGCGCGCCCGGCGCGCACCGTTGCAAGCAGAATATTATGGAATAGTGCAAATATACTACACGCGTACACTTGCTACGTAT